AGGAAGGAGGACTGTCAGCGCGTTACATCAAAGGCCAGCAAACCCGATATACCCCCCCAACATCCCTCATGGAATAAGCCGACTATATGCGCATGCGCTATTCCGCTCTCTCGTATCTCCCTCGCGCAAGCCCACTCCGCTCTTCTCCGACCGAGCGGCAGAGACGTTGCCAAGTATGCTCTATCTGCATCCTGATATGCTCGTCACGGCCATTATCCCGTATGAAGCAGAGACGATCTCTCGGGGTGTTGTCTCAGGCGGAACAAATGGACACTGGCAATGGAATTTCGTGAGTATGCTCACCTCCTTCTGAGCCAACGCTTCATTCGCTCATCTTTATGGGAACAGACCTTTCACATACAAGCTGACGGGGAGGAATGAGTATGCCGTGTCGCTAGACCACTGAGATTTCGAGCCAAGGACGAGTCATATGTTGCGTAGAAATTGTTGACGCGTTATGCAACATTACATATCTTGCCTGTGTCTAATTCTTTCAATGATATCGAGTAGCCAATCAGGCCACAGGGACTCAGCATTCCTGACTATTCGGCAATTCGTAGAGAACCTAAGAATGAGCGAGGTTATACCTGGAACGTTAAAAAGGCATAAGGCCTCGCTACCCTGAGCCCATCCACCGTCCAACGACTCTTAGCACACAGAACCATATCTCTTCGCTGCATGTAGGGCATGAATAAATACGAAGAGACACCATGAAGCAGTGCCACCCAACTACCTGGTAACGCAGAAACATGGATAGAAGCAACACGATTTCAATGAATCGAAACTGAAGAAAAGTATACATCGCGGACAGAGTTAGGCTAACATTGCATCCGCAAGAAATCACAACCTCGGAACAGCGAGCGAAATGAAGGACAACCAACAACCACACCCTATTCAGTGAGTTAATTTCGTACCTCTTTCTGAAAATTCCCATTATAGACATCGACAAATGTACCCATACAAAAAGCCTATAATTGGTACGTCAAGAACCCGGAATTGAACCCTGAATGGTATATAGTATACCAACTCCAGCATTCTTCCTTGACTCCAGAAAGCTATCATACCAACCAACAAAAGAGCGAGGATGAGTCATAAGTCAATTCAAATCCCAACGGGAATTAGAAAAAGAAAGACCTATTCAGCATTCACGCCATCATGGGACAGTGAATCGAACCCTAATCGGATCGACTAAATGAACAAGAGCTCCTCAGCCATATCCCGGCAAATATCAATACATGAATTCATCTAGAGGGGAGGTGGCTCGAATGTAGATAATTCAATCCCTCTGTGCAAGGAGAACGCATAACCGAGTCCCAATCCAACACCTCCGGAGGAACAAATCAAAACCGTCTGGTGAACTCAGACGTTTGGAAAAGCGGAAAAACAAGTTCTCTGTAATCAAGGTAAGATCCTTACTCGAATACAAAATTCCTAACAAAACCGCCCAGACCAAACCAAAAAAGTCCGAAATCTGCATGAAATCGGATGTTGGGAATCGAACCCTTAATCGGGTACGAAGCGCAGCTTCGCCATACACCCGCAAAAGAAGCTGGGAAATACTGATTCATGGGAGGGCCCACACCCTGCCATCTCTCGAAGCACTAGAAAAACAACTTCTTCGGGCATTATTCTCGCACAGGGAATCGAACTCGAGTTGCGAAGGATGTCGTAGTAGCCATTATACAAGACATGACATGGAAGATGTCGAAAGGAAAAAGAGGGCATGTTCGAGACCTGGGGAATCGGATTCCAACCAGAGTTTCAGAGTAAGAACACTTCAATGACAGTCGTCCAGAAGAACTAGGTGAGGTGATCAATTCAGATTTGACTTGTCCTTGAGAACGACCTCGTAAACATCAAACAGAAATGTACGGATTTATTCACTCTTCCTTCATACATCGCAAATACCCTACTATCACTCAGACCACTGATTCGGACATGGACACGTCCATCACCAACCAGAAATTGGACGAGTCCAACCAGAAAATGTGATCAGGTCGAACATGAATGGTACTCCTTATTGAGCAGCACCGCACCAGTCGCAAAACCATGTACTACTACCATTCAGAATCAGGCGATTGAAACTCCAGCATTGCACAACAGATATAGCTATTACACGATACCATACGTACTTCATCTCGCAACGTTATCAAGCACATTCAGTTTAATGAAGTGGCTGTATACTTAATTACTTTGAAGTAATTTCCCACGGAAAAACGGGAATCTGAGGAAGGAACGAATGATTGAAATACCGCATCGAAAAATATTTTCAGCCAATGAATATTCTGATATGGGGAATTGAACCCCACGTTGTATTCATAGCCATTCGACCAGAGGAAGATAGCAGGGATACACACACATACCAACAATCATTCAGTATACCAATTATAGCAAGAAACTACGAAACGACCAAGAATGTCGGTCTGAAATCTCACTATTTTCGGATTTGAATTCTCAGGAAACGGATTCAACGATTTACCCACAATCAAATTGGAGAAATATAAAAGTAACTGCCTGCCATTTTATTCCATTGGGATATAGGGAAATGAACCCCAGTTCACAGGAATACCTGTTGGACCATAATACCCATACATTAAAAGCACAAGGCTGTCGGTTTAGTCTCATTTTTCAAATGAAATGTCAACTAGTATTTGCCTGACCATTCGAAAGATTTCCTGTACCAACACCCAGTACCATTTAAAGTCCGGCGTTCGCTCTAATCAAAAAGCCGTCCACACTGCTTACCAGGAAACAGTGTATGATACCAGTTTTGTCTCGAGTCAGAACCTTCCAAGAAGGAGGAACTTGTTATCGCAGATGAGGAATCTTTATACTGAATAAAGAGCCATCCGAAGCGTTAATACTCAGACCACGCAGAGAGAAAGACATCCACAGCAAAACCAAGTCGGCCTGAATTTCAAGTGGTATCGAATAAAATAATTTCCTCTTTAATCGCCTATTAGAATGCAGGGGGTCGAACCCTAGGAAATCGAATCGCAGGTAGCTCCGCTTAACCATATCCTCGTAAAGAACTGGGGCGCATTCCGCACTGAACGTTAAAATGGCTATGTAACCAGCAAGCAGAAGTCACACCGTCCACTCCGATATCCCTAAAGTTATTTCCTTCGCTAAGACAGGGATACAAGTGGATTTAATATCTAGAGAAAGAGGCGCCTCTCTTGGAAGGAAAACAATCAAAAGGGAGCGGTACCGCCGCTGTATCCGGATATAGGAGAACCGAAACCGGAGTTTCTATCTTAACCACTGAACGATACTATGCGTGCATACGGAGAATGAAGTGCAGCGACCGTTTCCTACATTGTGAATTCCGCAACAGTGGACTGACGCTGACCGGTGGAGAGCTGGGCGCATTTGTTATTGATCCGAACAATCATTCACCGCGACCCATTCGTGGGTTTCATCACTCCCCAAGTTTTACGGGAGAGCTGTAGCGGGTAGGCACGGTGAATTCCGCGTTTATAGATGCGTTCGCGCGTTTGCGTTAAATGTATTTGCGTGTGCATTATCATGCATGCGTTGGAACAAATGCGTTTGCGTTTTGTTTGATGCATTGATGCGTTTGATGCGTGTGCGTGCGTGACAGAGGTGCGTTTTTTACGCTGTGTTATTGTATGGGCATGATAAGAGCTATTAAATGGTCTCGAAAAAAGAGAACTTAGACTAGTGCCGCACAATCATGGAGTAGATATTGACTACCTGAACTTAATTTACAATTTATTTATCTCCCTTCTGGATATACATTTGGATTGTGAGCATTTTTAGGGTCCAAATGTAAGTGCTTTTGACTTGTATTATCCATCGAATGTGGCATTAGGTCACTGATCAGTCACTTCAAGTTATTATTTACATTAACAGTGTTGCTGTTAAAACAAACAATTTTATGAGTACCCCGACATTATCAGAAGGTCTCAAACGCTGTTTGCTAAGCCTGGAGTATCGAAGAGCATGTTGTGGGCTTGACTGCACTCAAAACGCAGCCTAACGCACCTCAACGCACCCATCACAAACCTGTCACAGTCACATGCGTGAATTCGTTCTATTTTGACCCCATGCATTGTATCCAGTAACGCACGTATGAGGTCCTGCTAGGTGCGTATTTGAGATTCAATTCATGTGCGAGATGCATTCTGACTTGACTATCGATCTTGTCTTGCGGGATGACATGCGAAGCATTTTCTAAGGTGCAAGTGCATGTAACAAGCCTTGATTTTACATATACTGTCCTATTTCGACCGTAGCTTCACGGGGTGTTACGCGTTATGCTTTATGGCCGTCGGACCATAGCTTCATTCACCGAGAAATGTCATAAAATTACCATATTTAGGACGTCCGGTGATAGCCGGACCCGAAAATTTGCCATATTCAGCGAGTACTACCTCTCAGAAGGGCTTGTTACGCGTTACGAATTACCGATAGCTTCACTTCATGGGGTACCGTTACGCGTTACGTGAATTAACGGTCGAAATCGTACAGTATTGTGAGTTGCAATACATTTACACGAAGCTGGCTGGGCAGCGAAGCCTTTTCAGGGGAGTAAGTGTAATAACATCCTGGTCTAAAACGCACAAGATCGCGTGAAAACGCACCCAAACACATATCACTCAAGCGCAGCAAACGCAAGAGAACGCAAAAAAGCATCGGAAAAACGCGAAATTCTCCCGGCCCCTGCTGGAGCAGGAACCTGAGTTGTTAATGTGTCGGTGGATGACTCGGCGTCGTAATGGAATACAGCTGTAGGCCGCTGTGGCATCTGATTGGATGGATGGAAGAAATCGCTGGGATGCGCCATCATCGATGGAGTTGCTGGTCCAGTTGGATTTTGGCGTCGCCGGTGAAGGTAAAATACCAGCGACGCCGCCAATATGACCAATGCCAAAACCCCTACTGCAATGGCACCTCCGAACGTTTTGGCTGAGTTTGAGGAGGATATGGCGGCGAAAGAAAGAGCGGAAGGAGCTCCTGATGACGGTGAAAAAAGTTTACTCGAAATAACTGAACCTTGTTTTGTGGACAAGCTTGGCAGCAGGATAGACGACTGAGTGTTCCTTCAAGAAGTGAGCACGAAATCGAGTGATCATGCCAAGGACGTACGTATAAACCACATAATCAAAAACAATATATGACGGCTCCGTCCCCGTAGTCTCTATGAGCAACGTATGATATTCGTCGCTCAAAGATGCATTGCTATATGCCAGAACATCGTATTCAAATTGATATGTCCCGTCAGAATTATGGCTATAGCTTCCTACGACTTCTCCGTCCATTCGGAAATCACATATCGCATCGCTCACAACTCCCGTGCTCTTTGGATAGTTCGAGATGATGAGGTAGACATATATCGCAGAGCCTGAGAACGACATTTGGTCTAAGAATGTCTTCAGAACAAAAACCAAGGAGCACACCACGGAATGAAAGCCGAGCGGTTGTATTTCCCAGAGATGGATAGTATGTGACCCCAGTCCATGTGCCGTTCATCGCCAATGAGTGGTCCAGCACAACGGGGCAATCGTTGCAATGGGAGGCGTTCTTCCACACGAGTTCGCTCCCGTTCGAAGGTTGACTGGCCGAACTATAGTCTACTTGGAACCCAGTCAGCTCATCCCCGAGCGTATCATCAATGGTATGGTTGAACAACTCTCTCGCCACGATGCAGTTCAGGAGCAGAAGGGGAAGTAGAGTGAAGAACACCATCAAAGAAGACGCAGCGAATTCCGCCGCAGACAAATCCACGGCAGCGATGTCGTGGGAAACTAAAGACTTCGTATAGAGCTCATGGCAGTGGCAAGGCCAAGATAGGCAAGTACTGAATTTACAAAGCAACGCTTCTCACACAGTACGTGATATTGTGGATCAAAGAAAGTCTGGCTGGTGAAGATACTTGATCATGGGATCCCGGAAGAGATATAGCCGTGGTAAGAAATATGTAGAGACTGAAGGAGGAGTAAGACGGTTTGCTCATGGTAACAGGATATCTATGTTGCAGTTAAAACGCGGTGATACAGTTGATGGAGTGTAGACGTACCATCGGTCGTAGTAATGCTTATGTTTTGATCAAAACGACCGAAGCACGGCAACGGAGAATCGAATTCACTTATCGAAGCCCCGTGATCGCGAGCATCAAGAACTCATGGCCCTGATAAAGGAAAACCGGTAGGTCGGCGCGGTAAATATAGCCAGTTACTCACTTAACAGTTGATGACACGATTGAGCCCAGTGTGAGCAGACAATATAACGTTCCGCCACACATTTAAGAACCGGATCGACTGACTGCGAGCCTGGGGGTGGGTTGGCATACGTTCGGCTTGCCGACGTATCACGTTGATCTAGGCATGATATCGGAGCTATGCGAGCATTGGAAAGAAAAGAATATGTACTGGTTTTGACATAGCCTTCGCTCTCCGCAGCGACGCAAGGCGTAGTTAGTTGGGTGTTCTGACTACTACGATGAGATTGTTCAGGCGGCGTAGTAGTATTAATCGAATGAATTGACGTACAAAACAAATTCTACCGAGTCCGGGGAGTGGGTTCAAAGCCGGTCAAAAGGAAAAGCCAAAGAATTAGACAGAATTCACGTACTGGAATTTTCACAGGACTATTTGGAGCGAACATAATGAAGCATTGTCGTATTTGAGTTTATGAACTTTGACGTTTATTAAAGAGAGATACACTTGGAGAAAATGGAACCATACCGGTGCGGCAGAGGCGATAATAAAGAAACATCCCCTTCGGGCTCATTCCAAGTTGACTAAGGAGCGACCTGGTCGCAGGAAGGTACGTGAACCTGCAGGCAGGACGTACTCACGAAATAAAACCGTGCCAATGAACAATCGCTGTTGGCTTACGGAAGAAATAGAATCATTCCCGTAGAATGGAGGAGGTCGCTGTTCCAGTTGCCTCTTAGACGGCATTATGTGCTCTGTGCTAGTAAACTCATAATGTCAGTCACGTCGGAAAGGAAATATTCTCGTCTATATCCAGCGTGTTGTGTTTTGCTTTTTGACAGCGTGACGGTTAACTAGACTTCCGTTACTTGACTACGAGACCTGGCTTAATTCCACAAGGGCAAACGACGATAGTGGTATAATCGGACGGTCGAGCATAGCAGGCGAACGAGTGAGAAAAGGTTCAACGACGGTACTAGATCCTTATGCGGAATCAGAGAAACTGCCGCCTGGAGATTGTTAAAACGAAGAAAACCCGGTGCCTGGACTGATAGTGCAGTACGATAAGCGTTGTGGTTGATCAACAAATCGAATACCTCCAGAGGGAAAGATCCGGAGCCAATCAGCCTTTGAGTGAAGTAAAGAGTAAAAATTTCACCTCTGACCAATGATGTTTCGTCCTGATCAAGTGCCGCGGAGGGGTACTGTCCTTCATTTTTGGGCTCGACGGGGACTAGTACCGAGGCATCGAAGACAGAACGTCCTTCAATATCGCGTTATGGCGCGTGATGGTGGTGGTCGGAAAGGAAGCCAGTACCGGGCCGGTCTCCGAAATGTCTGCTGATCTCTTTCCACAAGGAGCTGGGGACCTCAAATCTCTGTATGAGGCCATAATCGATACTACGTTCCCTTCGCTAGACCTCATGCGAAGTCCGTCTTGTTCTGGATCCCAATCTATGGATATGTTTTATTTGTAGTCGTCTTCCTCCGGGGAGTGTGCATCTTCTTTTGGGCTCTCTGAGAATATCATTCTTCGACATCTCTCTCGAAACTTAGGATTGTCGATGAGAAGGCTTGGTTTTTGACTTGGAAAACGCTAAAGCGCAACTACGTACGGCAGTTTAGTGCCTAACTGCTTTTCAACAAGTGTAGAAGACTTCGTCTAGGGTGATTTCTCGACGTAATCTATGAGTACGAGTGTCTCGCTGGGTTCCTGGTGCTGATATTGATCTCTTCTCATGCGTGGTTTGTTCTTCGATGGAATAATGATAGTACTGGTCTGTCATGGCAATGCGAAGCCAATTTTTCCGCTCTTAGGAACGGCGGTTTACATATCAAAATTACTCTGAGGATACAAATCCTCTTGTAAGCCGGACGATGTGAAATATTTGGCTGGAAAATAACTCATGAAGCAGACGTTTTATTTATTGAGAATTATGCGCAAACACAAGGAAAATCTCCTCTTGGTGAGCTGTCTCGCAATTTAACTGTTTCATTTCCTTGCCTGATAGCTCGGACAGGAACATCGCATTTCCTTCTCGCATACGGTAACATAGCACCACTGACGTACTAGCTGTTATGGTGTACTTCCCCTGGCTATGGCGGAACTTGGCAAATCGTTCGTATCATTGTTCAAATGTTTCTTTCAGGCTTGTGAAGTCTGCGTTAAGCAGAACGACCCCATCACGAGAGAGCGAAAACCATGTGGAAAGCCACTCGTGTTGATGAACATGTATTGCTCAGTAATTCCTCGAAAGCCTCGAGTAAGGGGTGGACACTGGTTAACGTCAAATGAAAGGAAATCAAATTATCGCCACCTCCACTTTTGGTTGGTGAAGATTCCCCGTTCCGACGCCCGGTACCGTTTACGACGCTAGTATTTTCTCCAATCAAGAAGCCGTCCAAGCTGCGTAACAAAGAAGAGATGTGACGGTAACGAAGTATTTAATCTGGTGCGCGTCCCATTAAGTCACCGGAATGACGAACTCACATTAGGAGATGAGGAATCTCAATCTTACAAAAGGATACATCCGAATCATAAAAACACAGATCACGCCAGCAGAACAACATCTACAGTACACACCGTCCACAGCACACACGGGTCAACGCGAATCTCAATTGTAGTTGAATAAGATAAAAAACATCAGAATTCTACCATTAGGATGTAGGGAATCGAACGGGAAGTAATCAAATGCCAAGTACCCCCCTTAGCCACATCCATACAGAGAATCATTATATACCTCGAACCAAGAGGAGTCCAACTACACATGCACTAGGAAGGGGGGGAAATGATATCGACGCTGCCCATGTACTGCCCAATGTGGGCGTAAGGAACTGAACCTCAACAAGGCATGTTGCGCAAGGTGACAGGAGCACATTCACAGAATGACGCTGGGGAATAGCTAGTTACATGCCTGGACGCGAGTCAGACATAATAGTCCATTGAATAATATATGCTCGGCTCTGCTGAATTCACGGTTCATGGTGAGTAATCGGGATAGACAAGATGACAAAGCCATTTACCTGCACTCGTTGAGTCAAATTCTTGACATCCTTTAACAACAGGACGAGCGTGTCGCATATAGCATGCCCCAGAGAATGGATGCATTACCATTCAATCGCAGGGTCGGTAGTTGTCCAGAAGTATCGCACTCTCAGTATGACCGGATGGAGACAATTACCTGTACGTAGATCACGACGCGTGTTCAACGGTTTCAACGTTCACGTTCAACCTGTGGGCAGCCTTTACCTGAGTGGCAGAGAGACGAACAGATTTCGAGATTGAGGATACCTGCAGCGAGCGAGCATCTACCATATTGTGAGAATAAAGAGAAAATACGTACTAGAGGGCAAGCGTGCCGTCTTTTTCGTCTCCTGCCTCTGCGTATACTCCTCCAAGAACATTTCAATGTATCGCTGGTGAAAGTCACCATCACGCATTATGGTGATGAAGACCTGCATAGAGACAAGAAGGCTGTCATTCACTATCATCTCCACGTACGGACTTTCAAACCTAGTTTTCGCCCAGAGAACCAGCCGCTATGGGTGCGGTGTTGAGTAAGGGCGACACGATGAAGGGATTTGAGGGTCAATCGTTGCGCGCATGAGAAATTGACGTCGGCCTATAGTCTAGATGGAGAGATTTCGGGAAAGTTACAAAGCAGATGGGCAAATGACACACTTCCTTTACTGTAGGGAGAGCTAACAACAGAACTGAAGGCCATTGTCGACCGTGGTCGGGCTAGAACAAGGCTAGAATCGCATCATTCGTACTTCGGCAATAGTTCCATGGGAAGACGGGACGAAATAGGACGTGAAGTGAGCTAGAAGGCCACTGGTAGGAGACGTGGTGGTTGTTGGCAGAGAGGTGACCATCGCGTTATGCGTGACAATCAATGACGCGTTGCACAAGCCTGATCGGCATCCGGAACCGGCCGACCCTGAGCATCTCCGTGACATGGGCACTCTGTTAGCATTAAACTTGGACGCCCAACCGTGGACAGATCAACAGAATAGACTCTTCAACAAGGAGATCCCGCCTGGATTCAAGATGTGGCCAATGATTTCTTAGGGAGGAAGGACTGTCAGCGTGTAGCACCATAGGCTTGCAAATCCGATACGCGCCCCCACATCTCTCATGGAATAAGCCGACTATATGCGCATCTGCAGACACCGCTCCACTCCTCTCCGACCGGCGGAGGCGTTGCCAAGCACACTCTATCTACACCTTAATATGCTCGACATGGCCATTATCCCATATGAAACAGACGATCTCTCGGGGCGTTGTCGCAGACAGAACGAACAGTCACATTAGCAACAGAATTTTGTAAGTATACTCGCCTCCTTCTGAGCCAGCATTTTATTCACTCATCTTTATGGGCACAGAGATTTCACATACAAGTTGATGGGGAGGAATGGGTATGCTGTGTCGCAAGATAGAGGACTGAGATTTTCGTGCCAAGGACAAGTCATACGTTGCATAGAAACTGTCGACACGATATGCAAGATTCCATATCTTGCCTGTGCCTAATTTTTTCGATGATATCGAGTAGCCAATCAGTGACTCAGCATTATGCATAGAGAATTTGAGCATGAGCGAGGTTATACCTGGAACATTTAAAAGCCATAATGCCTCGCTACCCTGTGCCCATACACTGTCCAACGACTTGTAGCACACAGAACCATACAAAGGCTTTCTTCACCACAGGTCTGGCATGAATAAACATGAAGAGTCACCATGAAGCAATGTGCAACCGCTTGGTAACATTGAAACATAGATAGAAGCAACATGACTTCAATGTATCAATATTGAAGAAAAGTATACACCACAGACAGAGTTAGGCTAATATATCGTCCACAAGAACTCACAACCTTAGAACGGCGAGCCAAATGAAGGACAACCAACAATTACACCATATCCAGTGAGTCAGCTTCCTATTCTTGTACCTCTGTCAGTTGCTTTTCCTTTCTGAAAATTCCCGCTAAAGACCTTGACCAATGTACCCCTAACGATATCCATAAAAAAGTCAAGAGTTTCATGTCAAGAACCCAGACAGGGAACCGAACCCTGATTGGTTCCCATTGTACCAACTCTGACATTCGGCCTTGACTTCTGAAAGCTATCATGCCCACAAATGAGTGAGGATGAGTCATAAATCAATTCAAATCCCAATGGGAATTAGAAAAAAGAAAGCCCTAGGAAGGGTTCACGCCATCATGGGACAGGGAATCGAACCCTGATTGGAACGACTAAATGAACAGGGGCTTGTCAGCCATATCCCTGCGAAGATCAATACAGGAATTCCTTGAGAAGAAAACTGTCTCTGACTTGAATAATCCAAGTCTCCCTCCCTCCAAGACAAATGCATATCCGTGTCCTAATTCAATATCCCCAGGTTCCCGAGCAACTGAACCAAAAATTACTTATCGAACCAGAGGCTTCATCGGCAATGGGAGAAGCCTACTCTGTCAGCAAGTAAGATGCATCCTCGGACCTTGAACCCCTAGCAATAAAAAAAGTCATCTATCAAATTCAAATCGGTTAGTGGGAATCAAACCCTTCATCAGGCAAACACCGCAGCTTAGGCATACATCTGTGAAAGAAACCTGGAAATACTAATTAGTGGGAGGACCATATTTAAACATCTCTTGAAGCACGAAAGGGCTGTGTTTATACATGCAGCTCTCATAGAGGGAATTGAAATCTGACCACAGTTTCAAAATAATACTTATCCTTGAGTACAAGCTCATAAACTGAAAGCTAAAAAGTCCACACTGACTCACTATTTCTTTTACACCTCACACGAGGAGAAATGTCTAGTGAGGATTTCACCATCTTTCAGGTTGATGGATTTTACATGGACTCTTGGGTCATCACGAAACAAAAAAGCGAAATGGTTGAATATGACTAGTAAAAATACCAGTCCTGTCGCAAAACAAAAATCAAGCAATCAAGTACATTGAAACAGAAATAGGATGCAGGAGATTGAAACCAAGCACTACACGGCAGATATAGCCAGTACACGATATTATCTGTGCATTACACTTGATACTTAGCACTGTTATTAAGCATATCGGATTTCCATATAAATCCAAGGAAGAGGTGGTACTTACTGTGAAATCATTCCATATGGAAGAGCAGTAATCTAATAAAAGATGCAATAATTGAAATATCAAAATTTAATGTGCAAGCACCAAAGAAGACCACCTGTATTCTGATATAGGGAATTGAACCCCATGTATGCCTAACCATTAAACCAGAGAAGGACAGAAGGAATACACAGACATACCCATAAAGCATTTAAGTTCTTAGTCATAATAAGAAGCTACCAAACAACCAAGACAGTTGTCTGGAATCTCAATATTTCACTTCAAGCCATGGGTCAACAAACAAAAGGGAAAAATACTGACTTGGAACAAACTCAATGGTATATAGGGAATTGAACCCCCACCAGCAGCCACGGCTACGATGTTATATTCCCCACAAGTCAGAAGCACAAGGGTCATGGTTTACCAGCCAATTCTAAATGAAAACCTTGTTACAATTTTTTTTCTTTTTCTTATCTTATCCAAGCATCTATCTTATCTTCAGTGCTTAGACAGACAGTTCACATGCCTTAACCAGTTGCTTGTCTTGCAATACTGCGACAACTGGTTGCTGCACAACTTTACCTGTTTCATGCATGTTCACTGAACATAGTATACTATTATTAGCACAGACCTACCTGTATTTAAGTAGAGCCTTCACTGGTCTAAACCCCAGCTTCGGCTAAGGTTAATATACCCAACTCAAACTCATTGCTCCATGACTATCTAAGTAGTAACTAGCTCATCCAACAAGCATTGCCACAGGGATCAGGCTGAAACCACCAAAGTGCGAGTGGCAGCCCCTTGTTTGACATTGTTTGTGAGTTGGTGGCTAACATTTAGCCGAAGCTTGCTTCACAACGTTCATGACCCTCACACCTTCCGAAACAATCACCATTGCCATTACCGGTATGCTCCTCATAGCCACCATCACTATCTTCCTTGCAGGAGTAGCTATCGGATACTTGGGACACCGCTATCAACAAAGACGAGCCCGACTACCCATACAATGACCACCCATGGACCAGATACCCACACATTACATACCAACCACCCCATCCCCCACATATCCAACACTCCATGATGGCAGACCCATCGAACCCCAAATTCCCGGATGGCAAAGATCTGCAATTGTCCATGACATTGCCAGGCCCATATACTGTCCCCCCCCCCCCGAGACCAGAGGCATTGATTGAAGACATCTATTCACTCGACTTCAAGTACAGAGAAAAAGAAAGGATTGCTACAGTGAACGAAAGATGCAGTAACAGGCAAAGGGAAGACAAAGGAGATGACACCAGTCCAAGAAGAGAAGTGGACATCACCAATGGGCATAGCATTCCCTCTACCTGCTGGACAGACCCCTGGTCATTCAGTTCCACAGAAGGGGGAATACGAATTTGAAGTGAGACCCCCATTGATGAAGAAGAGGACACTGAGTCCTATCATCCATGCTCCACAACCCCAACCAGCAGCTCTATGGAGTTCCCCTGAAGAATTGTGGGCAAACTTGAATGTCTGGGGCCAGGATCAGAGTGGGACCTCGAACAATACTACCACGAGTCAAGTGCAGGAGACCGCACCAGATTCCCCAGCCCAGTCACCCCAACAACCAAAAGAGGAGGATGGCCCAGCACATCTATCAACACCCATGCATTTGACAACTTCACATTTCCCTCTGAACCTGCCTGCACTGACTTGACCACCCTCGGCAGCCTCGGTGGTCATCAAAGTATCATGACCAGGCTTGAGAATCAGCATGAGGATGTCCTGGCCATCATCAAGGATGACAGTGAGGACAATAGGAACCGAGAGACCAATGACAAGGCTCAGCAGATTCACAGTGGTGGACTTCACCAGCTCAGTATGGGGAACACAGAAGGAGGAAGCACCAATGGTGTACACACCCACTCCGAGCAACGAGTGGCAAGACAAGGAAGAAGAGAAGCAGGACAAGGCAATGCAAGACATCACTGACTGCTTCAGGATGGAGGATCTGGTGGAAACCACCCTCCAGGAGAAAGAGGACCAAATAACAACCCTACTCTTTGAAGAAATAAGGGAGGGATGCATGAATGACCTAAAGGAGGACTTGAAGTGGTACGCAACCGAAGGCAGGGAGGACTATTGAGACGCGAAGAGTAGGGTGGACTATAACCTAGCATACCAAATATTACGATGGGATGAACACATGGTGGCAGTCACCATCTGGAACAAGTATCACCTGGCCAACAAAATGACTGAGATACAAACCTACCAGAGGCCCAAGCCCCTACTGCAATCACTGCCAAAATCGGCATCAACAGCAAGCATCCCAATATAACAGAAACCGTTTGCCAGAGGCAGAGGACCAGAAGCTGGTCCCAGCTGACAAACAGGCCCTTCACCAATGCATTGGCAATCACTGGCACCACCGAAACCGAGTGGGCCACCACCAAGCCAAAACCCTTCTTTATGCTCACTATCCCAACCACCGAATCCACCAGGAGGAGGACCCCCATCCTGATGGACCCCTGATGATGATGATGATGAATATCCATGGTGCAATCTGAAGCCGACCATCATCTGTTGGAATTATTGCAGTGGGAGGCTTGCAGTAGGAATAATACCTAATTGTTAGCTATTAGAGCTCCTAATGAGCTCCTTATATACTACGAAAAGTATCTAGAATATTCTACCAAAGTAACTAAATATATCTGAGTATCATGACAAATGAGTAAGCCAAAGCTTCGGGAATCTTCTGGCATAAGCTTGAAGTTGCAAATCCCAACATCATCTGAGACCCAGTACCATTCAAAGGAGTCAGAATGGACATTGACAGTGTCATGAATTCACCCCTATTTTTTGCCTTATCTTATCTTATCACACCAACTCATCATTTGACTCTCATCATCATTCCTCATACCTGATCTGCATCATTCATGACCCACCTGGTCACACTGCTCACATGCATGATCCATTTGATGGCCCTTAAATCCGATCATACTTCTATGGGCCTGACCCTCCTTTACCCAGTCATGCTTCTTAAGGTTGACTGTGTGCACTTAATGGAGTATGAAGACTCAGTCATATAGTTACAGAAGATAGTGCCATACAGATGCTAGTCTTCTTACTTGCAGGAGGACTTCTCCCATACCAAGCACCATATGATACAGAAGACAGCGATGCATTGGGACAGTACACACTAGTAAATACCATAATGTATTTAAGAAGAGCCTCGCTGTGGTCTTACACCCCAGCTTTGGCTAAAGTTATATACTCCTAACTTTTCATGCAGAAACTCCCTGTTTCATGTCTAAGAACTATCGTTCCTGACCTAGTGATTGCAATGCCCTCTATCACACTGAATCACTGAATGCAAGTGACAGTTTAGAGGCAAACATTGTTCAATCCAAGTTAGTGCATTACAGACAGATTCTTCAACCATTGTCAAATCTATTTCGAAGTACATTACAAATACTTCCAGTCCAACCCACACCGGGTGGCCTTCTGCATCACCAGGTTTGAAGATGATGCACTCGAGTGCTGGAATCACCAGAGTGATTACTTCCTTGACCAGCATGCCAACCCGGCCCATACGAGGTACCCCAGATATGAGGCTCTCAAAGCAGCCGTACAGCAGAGATTCTGGAAAGGACACCACCAGGACCTGAAGTATCAGGAGTGGGAGGCGTTGAGGCAGTCTAGCTTCAAGAGCATGGAAGAATTCTTCCAGAAGTTCGAGGAACTCACTAAAGACACTGGAAAGCTGGGAATCGATGCTGACATGCTTTGCATAGCCCAAAATGGCACCCGCAAGACCTTGCAGGACATCATCTATCACTCCAAGGAAGCCCCCCTGACCATGTACAATGAATGGAAGCAACAGGTCAAACAGATTGACCTGAACTACCATGTCCACCATGCCAAGTTCAGCAATGGACCGGCACCCAGAAGCAAGACCCCCTTGAACAACAACTCAAGTTGAGGCAACCAACACCAGTCAACCAGAAAAGCTAACAGTCCTGGAAATACCGGTCACAAAAAGGACAGTATGGGAACGATGTATAGGGGACAGGGAGAGCCCATGGCGATTGACAAGTTATGCAAAGACAACTTATGCTTCAAGTGTGGACTACGAGGACATCGCAGGTACGAAAACAAGTGCCCCAACGACAAGTCCAAATGGAAGAAGGTCAAGTTACTGCCGAGGAAGAAGCCTAACATACAGAGGCTGTGAGCACTGCTGGAAGAAGCTGAAAAGGAAGAGGTCGAAAGCACCATAAAGGCCAACAACAAGAAGGAGGCAAAGGAGTTGTCAAAAGATGAGCCAGCAGCACTGATGAGCCTCCAGGCTCTGTATGCTCAGAATTCACGGATTTTACCAGATATTTAATTCTCCAGCCACCACACAAACCTACTATTTCAATCCTGGCAATATTGCTTAATGCCACCAATTATCCTTCCTCACTTGTACCCCACATCAATTATGTGCCTCTTTCATTAATTTCACCAGTCTTCTTTCATTAATTCTGCCAGGCACCTGATTGTTGATCTCACGGATTTAGAATCCCATCTTATTGCCTAGCACAGCCGCAATTCCGCAGCACAGCCACAATTCTGCAGCTCCAATAGCAATTCCATGGCATTAGCTTTAATACTGTGACCTTTCCTCAGTCTTTACTAAGGCTGTTATACTGCCAAGAGATTGCTGCAAGCATCTACTTCAGTACACTTGCTTCAATGTACTTTGCCACAGCAACACAGCAGCTCAAAATTCCGGAGATTGGTGGCATTCTTGCTAATCACTTCATCTATATATGGTAAAGCCATATGGGTGCTGTTACTTTAGAACCTTGGGAACATGTGTTTGGTATCATTTCTTACCAATCTATGTACTATGGACTTACTAAGGACTCGCTTCAAGTATTCTAAATTTATTCCAGGCATGTAGTATAAAAGCTAGTATACACCATGGAAAATAGGTGGTGGCAGAGACACACAGGTTATCAATGACAAGTAACTAAGTTGCTACAACCGCTATCTCTTGTACCCACTAGGAGACAGACAATAACAGCATAGTCACTCTGAGTTATACTCTCTGTCACGGCTTTTATTCTAATGGTATTGGTGTATGCTCATATTGTGCCAATACATGGAATTTCGTGTCCACAACTCGCTTTTATCTTTTATTCTGCCAGCACCGTTTCACTTTCACCAGCCAGCATCGTTTTACCAGTCTTCACTTTCTACGTTGCCATCGTTTCACCCCAGTTCAGCTCAGTACAGTTACATCCTCATGTGGACACAGATTAGGATCATTATTGCTGCCAGCAGTGTCTGTCATGGAATTTCGGTCAACAGTTTCAGTATAGGACCTTCAGTCACAGTATTTGTTATCTTGCTGTCAGTTTCAGTATAGGATAGTCTCTGTGTAGACTCAGGATCAGTATCAGTTTCATTTTATCACAGTTAACCTCAGCCCAGTTTTAGTCTCAGCCTTGCCCAGTATCAGTCATCATTTTGCTGCCACTAGCTTCCTCTTCATATTTCTGCCAGCCAGTCTCTCTTCATTTTACCACCAGTTTCTTGACTACAGTCTTCATCTCTTGCCATCACGGTATTTGTTATCTTGCCAATGGTATTTCTCTTTGATGGCATTTCCATTAATTCTGCCAAATCTGCCCATGGCTTTTACTAGTTAATTGCCGTCACTTTGTTCACAGTTTGCCGGTATTCCCAGTTATACTGGATTCCATTCCTTCTCGTCTATTGAGACCCTTCCCGGCTTACAGCCAATGCTTTCTAGTACTCGTTTGTTAAGAGTACTACTCCGCTGACTGAAAAGTCGCAGTGTATACTTGTGTTCTTGAGGAATTCATCACATGGAGGTGCATCAAAACACTCACAAAGCCTTTATTGCTGCTACACGCCATTTGCCATGAACTCCTCTAGAGTTGTGGTTTTTGCCATTGCCACAGAAGTTTAGGCTCATCAGCACACTAAGTGCTTCAACGTCGTTGGCAAAGGACTTAGTTTCTCATGGTACAAGCTTATTCACTGCTGGTCAGACTTATAATACTTTTGTAGGTACACCGTTTGAACAATATACAAATTTTTATGCTCTGCTCACCATCAAGACAACTAAGGAAGAAGAAGCACAGGAATCAGCAGGTGTAGAAGGGGACTTCCACCTTTGTGCTGGCATAGACCACCAGACTGATAAAGGACCCCAAGGGCAGGCATTGCCCCTGACACAGAAAACAGGCTTGAGTAGCCTCACAGCAAAAGGCCCAGGTAAGTTGCCTCATGAAGCGATAAAGATGGGAGGCAAGTCACCCTGTGGATAGACTCTGCCTGACTTGGGGAAAGTTCCAGATGCAATGGAGAGCCCCCCTCACCAGGACAAGAGAGGAGATCCCATACCCCATGGCCAGAAAATCGGACTGGGAAGAGGAAGAGCGGGTGAGTCAATGAACCAAAAGGAGCCCTCCCACTGAGTAAGCCTGAGAATGCATGAGGCAGCAGAGAAAGGCGCAGAGCCTGGAGGGGAGGCAATATCTATGTGCTGAGCCATGGGGACAGAGTATGGCCAGGATGACAAGAAGACCAAACATTTGAATGAGCCAGATTGCGAGTACAAGGTATGTCTTCCACCCATAAAAGTAGTCAAGTGGACCATAATGGTTGAAGAAGTGGAAGACTATTATGGTTTTACCCCTATTCTCCTTATCTTATCTTATCCTTATCTCCAGGAACTACAGACTGCACCATCTTATCTCTCAGGCCTACAATGTTCCTTTGGCATATCTTTTACCTGGTTGCCATCCTCCAATCCACAGCTGCCACACCCAGATGACCGATGACCCACATGCACCATCACCCTTCTCCTGATGGCATCATGCTTCTTAATGGTTGGGCAAGAGTCAACTGCTAGTCGAGGGCAGTCTACAGGATGTGGCCTATTCAGATGGAGCCCTGCGCAGATGCAGGTGATATCCACTCTTTACTCTCATTTGTTGGGAACACACTTCTTTTAGTGTCCTCACTCCTCATTCATTACAAGGTGCACTTCTTGCTGCACGCACCCTAGTAGGTACTATTCTTAGTATGAGTCTAATGTGTATTTAAGCTAGCCTACACTGTGGCCTTAGACCCCAGCTTTGGCTAAGGTTATATACTCCTAACTCTTACAAGCTCCTTGCTTTCACTATCTAAGTGATGCCCTAACTTCTCGCACTCTACCAAATGCCTCTCTAACACTGAATCACTGAACGTGAGTGACAGGATAGAGACCAGCCTTGGTTTAGATTAGAGTTAGTGCATAACATTTAGCTGAAGCTTGCCCTCAATACCCTTATCATCTTCAAACAGTAACCATACTGCTTCAAGGCAGTCACTGTTATACTTTCAAAGAAAAACCTTCTGCCCATTATTTAAAACAGCACCCACCATACCTCGAGACCTGAAACATTCATTGTGGTACAATGAACTGTATGCCTCTCACCCCCTCAGACCACACTGCCATTATCTTCAGAAGTACCTTCATTACCTTGATACTGCTAACTGCAATCACAGTTGTCCATTTTACCCAACCAACCCGATGCCCAAGAGCACTGACCCCTGGAAGAGGGAGAATACACGGACTCAATGGCTCATCCACAGGAACCTCACAGACAGGAAGCACCGTCTGGCTCAGGTCAATCACACCCCGGCCAAGGGGGGAGTGAAACACACTTCAACCTCCCTTACCTGATGGAGAAGACCGAGCCTCCACGTTCGAGTTTTCGAGTGAGGATCAGCAAGATGGTGAAGGCAAAGAATCCCTTTGGGAAGAAGAGCTCAGATGACTCTGCATTCCACCTGATGACCGAGATGACCGAACAGATTCCAGGTTTACAGTCGAGTACTGGACCAATACAGAGGGATCCTGGGATGCCACAACCTGGGGCAATGACAATGACTCCAGGGAGCCATCAGTCACCTCCACTGAGTTATCAGCAGCTGTCCCAGGGTTCGACGACAATGGAGAGCACCTCTATCAGAGAGGAATGAGTGGGTTCTACATTGACGTATTCAACCGAATTGTCCATGGATGAACTGGGTGAAGAACCACCTTCGAAGAAGGTGAAAACCCGTTCCTCCCTGCCCAGGAATGAGGAAAGTTTTGGGGAGTGGGCGATGCAGGAGAACATCAAAGAGATGAATCCCCAGAGCCAGAATGGCACGATGCCCCAACCTCCCTCTCCTTGTACACCCCTGATGGAACTTATAGAGTTGAAGAACCCCCTTCATGGTGGGACGACGATTCTGTCCATGAGTCAGACTTTGTCTGGCCACCCCCTCGACCCAAATCCAAAGTCCTTCCCCAAAACTTCATCACCATCGCCAACCTTAGAGACTTTGCAGAGCCTCGATTTGCCCACATCTCAGAGACTTCCACCAATGATGCCGTCGAAGATGGACCTGATGATGTCGCATTCACTGAGTACTCCAACAGTAATAATGAGGAGCTTCCAGAGTACTACACCCACCCAGGACCCCCGATTAGTGCAGGCCAGTGGGTCATCTTCCCAGGAGATACACTCAAGGGAGACAGAGTCCTTGACTGGTTTGCCAGAGATCAACCCTTTCTGGACCCTATCATCCTCCTGAACTGCATCCCAAGGGAGCTTGACCAGACCTCTCCCCATCCATACCCCTATTGCAACTGTTCCACTTGCCAGTGCCTCAGAACCCTGGCCATCGACGAGTATGAGAGAGCCCAACCCCCCATCGAGCTCAAGCCCTTCCTTGCACCAGAAGGAGGGTTCTTACCTGATGGATACAATGGGGGTTTCCTCCCCCTCCACGATCTATGGCCCTGGATCTGGAGATGTGAAGATGCCCTGGAGATCTGGGATGAGTACTACAGATACCTCAGGGGCATATGGGATTGGAACAATGACTGGCATGCAGGATACAGGATATTCTCCAGATACCAGGTCA